ATATTACATCTTTTGGAGTTTAGCTTGCTGTGCAAGGCAGTTTAATCTTTAGGAAAAAGAAGCTGGCAATACTACCCATTGTTCCCACAACTCAAGAATCTTTAACAATGAAACTGTCACCTCTTCAGAGATCTAGATTCAATCATAAGATGTACACAGTGGTGGGATTCAAATATGTGAACAACCGGTTCTCTGTGTGGATGCTGCTTCCGGAAGTCCGTTCTGGGCCTGGGCAACAAAAAAATAGCTACCGGTTCTGCCGAACTGGTGTGAACTGGCTGAATCCCACCACTGGATGTACAACTTCCTCTTATGACAGTTTCTGGTACTTTAAAACTACTTGAGGTTTATACCTGAATTGCAAGGCACTATGTATATGTCATAGTTGATCTATTACATGTAAACAAAGCCAGATACATGCATGTTAGATCATCACAAAGCTGCAAATTACAATAGGCATGGGACGTTTTTGTACCTATGGAGAAGCATACAGCTAATTTGTAAAAGCTCTACCTGAATAATCATGTATTTATTGATTGCTGGATTGATTTATTCTTGGCTACCCCAATCCTGAAGAAGAGTTCTCTAGTTGCTAAGAGTAAAATCAAAATCAAGCAACCAACCAATTTAAAATTAACACAAGAAATCACAAGGAAACATTTAAAATGCCTTTGGAGGGTGTTTTGAGGAACAGCAGAGTCCAAAGAAGGAAAACCTCAACCTTGGGAACTTTAAGAAGTGTGGACTTCAACTTCAATGTTCTGGCTGAAGAATTCTGGGAGATGAAGTCCATGAATCTTAAACTTCCTAAGGATTAGGAATCCTGACCTAGACATTATAGCATACTTTTTCTATCCCGGTACTTTTCCATCATCCGCCCTCATCCCCAATGAGTGGAATTGCATGCCCACAGAAGATATATTGTTTTCTTTGCAGGACACCCTGAACTGTGACTTAACCCCATGGTCTGTCATGGCCAGCTCTGACTCTGAGATGTCTGAGAAGGGGGTGACTTCGGAGGACCCTGTGGAAGAGCAGCCTGCCCCAGAGAGCAGCAGGGAGACACCTCAGCCTGATCGGACAGCACAGCCTGTGGACCAGCTGGAAGCAGCAGAATATGAGGGATTTGATCCAGGAGCTCCTCCCAGTGCTACGGGGCTGAGTGAAGAACAGATCTTCAGGCGCCTTGCCAGGCAAGGGGGTTCCCACTAGTGACTCCTTGCACTTGGTGGGGTCTCTTTTATCGTCACCACAGACAAGCCATCCATTACAGATAAGAACTCTCTGTCTGTTATGCCCTGAACTCTTTCCTGTGAAAACTCTGTTGCTTTTGAAGCTGGATTGGCTGGCAAACTATGCCAACTCTATGATCTCTGGAATGTGCACCAATGGGATCTTGCTTGTAAGTATCCAAGTGATCTGGGACAGTTTGAGGTTGTGTGCACATCTGCCTACACACCCTGCCCGCCGCTGCTATAATTTCTCAACATCAAGTAAAGCCTTGAATTGTACTCCTTTGTGTGTGTCAGACCTGGGACAGGACAGAGTCTGATTCACACAACATAACTAGACAAGGGTAGTTCAAACAGATTGTATGAACACAGTTCCAACCCTATAAGAGGCGTTGTCAGAGACTTCTTCGCCATTTCTTGTAATCTTCTATGTACTTTTGCAAAGTTTGTGGTTTCCACCCTCAAACTGCAAATACTCTTTTCTTGTGTTTGGGTAGTTCTCTTTTTGGTTATTAAAGCCCAGGCAGTTCTCACATTTTGGAGAGTGATGTAGCAACTTGTCTACCCCACCTCTCCAACTGAAGGAGAGGAGCCCAGCTACGCAGAAAGCAGCAAAGCAAATGCATTGAATTTTCCACCCACAAACATCAGTATTAAAGCAAAGAATGTTTTGCCTACAGAAGCTGTTCATTTAAAAAACAAATCACCCTTCCTCAACCAAACACTCACCTAAACCAAAAGTCCAGGCACATAAGTGAAGTAAAAAGACCAGCCTCCCCATCGTGGCTCTCTTCCTCCTAACCTTTCCTAGCACGTAGTACACCTTCCCTTTTAAACGAATGCAGCCGGCGAATAGGAGCCTCACCACCTCTCCAGGGTGGTGCTTCAGCTTAGATTTCAAAAGTGTGGGAGTTGTTTGGGGCAGGAAGAGATGGTTGGCCAAACAAGGGTGTGGAAAGAAGAAAATCTGATTGTAAAAGTCTGCTCAGAATTTAGGGGAAATGACCATATCTTGCATTGTCTTAGATTCACATCCTTTACTTGAGTTATTGAATGATCCTACTTTCTGGATTCAGACACTACATTGAGCTCCAGATTAACCAAACAGGCTGGGTTTCCATCTTAAGGTCACCAAAAAGACAACAAGCTTAATCAAGCTTTGCATGTTGTATGAATGTAGTTCCTAAGTTTCTGGTTATGTATGTTGGACAAAGTCAGCCATATTCTAACATTCACTGCCTGAATTTGGGTAAAAAGAACAACAGCCTTGACAATTCCAGAGTCCAAAGTTAAGATGAATCCTTCTGCTGCCTTCTAGCCTTTGTGGCCAGGGAGACCTTCTGAAACTTGAAGACTTGGAGTAGTCGTTTCTTCTTTCTTGGATAAGTTCAGGCAGAGACTGGAAAGCCATTAATAAAGGATGCTGTAATTTTGATACCTATATTGACTATCAATTCAATGTCCTAAATAACTTCTTATAATTTTATTTTAATGTTCCAATGTCACCTGATCATGGACAACTAGTGGACAATCACTTAAATATGAGCCAGCCATGTGCTGCAGCTGCCAAAAAAGCCAACACAGTGCTGGGCTGCATTAACAGAGGGATAGAATCAAGATCACATGAAGTGTTAATACCACTTTACAATGCCTTGGTAAGGCCACACTTGGAATACTGCATCCAGTTTTGGTCACCATGATGTAAAAAAGATGTTGAGACTCTAGAAAGAGTATAGAGAAGAGCAACAAAGATGATTAGGGGACTGGAGGCTAAAACATATAAGGAGCGGTTGCTGGAATTGGGTATGTCTAGTCTAATGAAGAGAAGGATGAAGGGTGATAGCATAGCAGTCTTCCAGTATTTGAGGGGCTGCCACAAAGAAGAGGGAGTCAAGCTATTCTCCAAAGCACCTGAAGGCAGGACAAGAAACAATGGATGGAAACTAACCAAGGAGAGAAGCAACCTAGAACTAAGGAGAAATTTTCTGACAATTAGAACAATTAGTCAGTGGAACAACCTGCCTTCAGAAGCTGTGAATGCTCCAACACTGGAAGTTTTTAAGAAGAGACTGGACAGCCATTTGTCTGAAATGGTATAGGGTTTCCTGCCTGAGCAGGGGGTTGGACCAGATGACCTCCAAGGTCTCTTCCAACTTTATTATTATTATTACTATTACTATTACTATTACTATTAATTACTATTACTATTATCATTATTGATCATCGCACAGTCAGCCAGATGTTCAGACTGGATTTGGCATTTTTGTCTACCTATCGGGTCCTTACCAAGGACCTGGGATAGGCAGATGTGGATGTTTGATGGTATTACAGATATCGTCACAGGATGGAAGCAGTTCCTAGTAAGGCCACCTTTTGCAATTGACTAATGGCAAATAATAATAATAATAATAATAATAATAATAATAATATTATTATTATTATTATTATTATTATTATTATTATTATTATTATTATTATTATTATTATTATTATTATTATTATTATTATTATTACCAACTGGACCATGTTTTAATTGAGTGTTCCAATTTTTCCTGATTCACACAATTATCACACAATCCAGTGGTTCAAATCCAGAGGCTCCTTTATGGGTGAATGCAATAATAATAATAATAATAATAATAATAATAATAATAATAATAATAATAATAATAATAATAATAATAATAATAATAATAATAATTTTATGAATAATAAATTAATCAAACTAGCTGATTCCACCTCATTCTAGGGTAAAATTGGTTAGTTTGTGGTTCAGACAAGCAAAACCTCAGGGTAGGTTCATACATCATGATAAACCAAAATGTGATTTGCTTGGGGATTTTGCACATTCAGTGTGGTTTATTAATACATTTAAATAGCAATTTTGCTGGATGAAACCTGTATGCAGCAACATCCAAATATTCCAGAAACTTCCTTGTTTGGGAGAAAAGCAGATAAAAACCTGAGAAGCCTGTTGAGCTGGGCATCCTCACACAAGCCATTAATTTCAATTGCCCTGTAGGAATAAATCAAAAAGAGAAGGAAAGGAAGCCACCACCCCAAACTTGTTTCATTTGCAATTTATTCTCCCTGCTACATGCAAGACCGTTAACACCAATTGCCTTGCAGGGAGGATGCAGGATGTTAGCTTGTTTTTAAATAATATTTCATTATATTTTGATTTAATAGTGTTTCTATTGCTTGTACACAGTTCCGAGAGGCTTCTTCTTTTGAGAGGCAAGGTATGAATAATGGAAACAATTTCTCCACACTCTTAGTTCTGAGCTTGCTAAATAATCTGAAATCTGATTTTTTAAAAAATGTTATATTCACTTGGGGGGAAGGCAATATAGATGAACATCACTGCCAACTGTTCGCCCAGCCTCTAGAATTGCATCTTTTGAAATTATTTTGAAATGTCAATTTTTAGTGAATAGTATTTACAAAACAGAACATCTTTCAGTGGTAGAAAAAAAGGAAACTAACCACAGTCCCCTTTAAGCTTTTTTCTTCAGACTGAGCTGAGCTGCTAAAAGCTAAAAAGCTGAACTGGACTTTACATGTTTTAATCAGTGGACAAGCTTATTTATACAAAAAAAACCTTTGCAAATTCCTATCCTGTTTGTTAAATCTGGAAATTCTAACATGCTATTTGGGTGTGGGAATGTCTTCCTGTGCATACAAAAATCCAGGTGTGTCTGCAGGGAACTGGTGAGTAGAACAGCTCTTTATAATTCCTCTCCAGACAAGGAGAAGACTTGAGATCACCAAAAAGTTCTCCAGACAGCTGATTCTCACGAGGAATCTGCAAGATATGAGTAAGTTCAGAGCTCTGGGAGATGAGGGTCTTTAGAGATTGGGTTAGCACAGGGGTCTTCAAACTTGGCCCTTTTATGACTTGTGGACTTCAACTACCAGAATTTCCCAGCCAGGCACGCTGGCTGAGGAATTCAGGGAGTTGAAGTCCACAAGTCATAAAAAGGCCAGGTTTGAAGACCCCCGGGTTAGCATATTTCCTTTTCTAATCACTTTCAAAAATGTTTTTTAACTTAAACATTAATGTGTAATAAACAAACCCTAATATTTATTAACCCCTTTCAGCTATTTGGAATCTTTGAATTGACAGGTTTAACAGCACTGGATGAGTTTCCTTCAATTCTTAGTGAAATAAATTTTAAATACAACTTTAAGGACTTTTTTTTTCTCCTTTTGAAATAAACAGCAGAGGGATGATTAGAACTTTGATTCTGGAAAGTTACAAATGGACTAAAGGTCCAGATAGATTGGAAAGAAGATTTCTGAATAGTAAGAATCCTTCATGTGGGAAAATCCTTTTGTTTTGAATTCAGTTTAAATAAAATTGATTGCTGAGACTTTGAAGGTTGGACACTAAAGGCAATCAGAAGGAACTAAGTATTAAATTCAAAATGGAGTAAGAAACTTTAACATTGGACATATTGAAGGATATTTTTGAATAACGGACCTAGAAGTTTATTTTAAGAATGTCTGCCTCTGTAGATGGACTATGTTTAAAAGAATTTATGTAAGAGGAACAAGTTTCACCACATAAGACTGAGACTGATTTGGAAATAGATGTAAAAGTGACAGGCTACAAAAACAACACGCAAAAAGATGCTACACTGGACATAAAAATGAAACTGGCTGATCTCTTAAAAGAGATGTACAAACAACAAACCAAAAGAGGGATTTGGATAATTTTACTATATTGGATTTGTAAAAGAGACTTTTATAAGCAAGGACTCCCAACAGGCTGGAGTCCATATGCCTTAAAGTTGCTAAAGTTGAGAAATATTGCTCCACAAGCAAATTACCAAAGCTGAGAAACACGTATCTTAGTATCAGCAGCATCACAATTTCCACCTGTTCCCATGCAATGAAATGAAAACCAATGAAATGAAATGAAATGCAGAGAATCTGAAAAGAATACAGAATAACAGACTTGGAAGTCTTCTA